TTAGAGACTCAGAGAGGGTCATTGTCCGGCCAGGGAAGGCCAGAATTTATGAGGCGTCACTAAGGTTTAGGAAAGGGTTGTTATCTGGTCAGGGAAAACCGGACCTGGGTGAGTTCAGGGCACGGGCAGGCATTCCAAGTAGGTTCAGAATTTGCAGTAATTTATAGTAAAGCCGAAATTATCTTTTCATGGTTTTATGGCGAGATGCCCAATTTTAAGAAAGGTTGGGTCTATCAAGGCCTCAGCGTACAGGCCGCACAGAAACCAGCCTTGCTGTGCACCTCTGAGGAGCAGCCAGCACGGAGTGAGGGGCAGGGCTGCTGCAGCGTCTTCCCCAAGCGAAGCACTCTGGTCAGGTGTCCGTATAAGGGGACGTGCATTGGATCTGCTGAGAGCCGGAGGATGAGGGCAGAGTGCTGAAGGCCTGAGCCCTGAAGGAGCAGAGAGACAAAGACTGTGCCAGTGATTGGAAGGCGGTTCTCCTTGGGAGCATCTACTCAGCACCATAAAGCCCTCAGGACCGAGCTCTTCAGACACTCAGGCTGGCGGAAGGGCAGCAGCTGCAATAGAGAAGTGATCCACAGGATGGAGGCGGAGGACTGCGCCGTGACTGTGGAGGAGACAGACCCACACCGTCCGGATGCTCCATCTCCTGCAGGGCTGCTGAGGGGTCTGTGGAGGAGCGGCAGAGCAGGTGGCCCAGGGAAGAGGGATGGACGTGGTCCAGACCTCCCTGGCCTCCCAGAGACAGATTCAACAGTGCAACACAACAGCACAAACCCCCGGGAAAGAAATCAGGACCTGCAGGAAGCAGAGGCCTGCCACAAAGTGGAAAGGACGTCCATAAATAATAGACGGTAAATCAGATTTCGCCAGGAACTTCAAAATGTGTGCTGTGAAACTCACAGTTAGAGCAAGGAGCAGCTGAGCAACAGATGGGGAGAAGCTGTCCTCCAGCCCTGGCCAGTGTGCTACGTAAGGGCCCGCTAAGCTGAATGTCAGGGAAGGTGCCCAGCTGAGGGCTCTCCAGCAGGCGCTGTGGGCACATGCAGGCTGGCAGCCAGCAGCCTCGGTCCTGGGGAATGCTCCGCAGCAAGGCCAGAGGAGCCCACTGGCCAGAAGTAAGAACTGGCACCAGGCACTGGCTAGGGTGCAGCCAGCTTGGACCCCCCCAGGGGACACGGGTCGCAGTTTGTGTCAGGTCAGACACACGTCACCTCACATACCCAAATCCCTTTCCTGGTGTTCACCCAAGAGGCGCAGGTGGGTGTGCAGGGGAGAGTCCCGCAAGAGCAGCTGCGGCAGGCAGCCAGGAAGTGCAGGCCAAGGCCATCCATCAGCCCCTCTAGGCCTTGTCCACAGGCCAGAGGCCAGGGGCTGGCTATGGGGAAGGGGAAGACCCTGGAGGGTGCCCCAGGCCCCACTTGTAGGAAAGAGGCAACTGTAAGAGTGACTGAAAACAGCCAGCACAGGCCAGGGGAAGGCCTCCTGGGGCTCCCTGCCTCTGGCCTCCTGGTCACCTGACTCTGCCCTGGCCTGGTCCCTACAGGCGGGGCAGAGAGCAAAGTCCACTGCCTCGGGGCGTGGGGTTTTCCCCCAGACCTGCCCTCCCACCTGTCCCTAGGGCAGCTCTCAAGTCCTTCTAAGACTGGGGTGTTGCCCTTCCTCCCTGCCCTTGGGCCCAAGGCCCAGGTGGGCACTGCCAGTCAGCGTCCAGCATAGCTGGAGGGCCCCTGGCTGCAGTCCATTCTTTGCATGCTGGGGGCAGATTCGCCCCACCCCATTACCACCCCAGGGCCAGGCCGGTATAGACAAGGGGTGGAGGACAGCAGGTGTGCAAGAGGACGGCCAGTTGCACCCAGGTACACTGCTTCCTTCACCTGCTTCTGCAAGGTGGCTGCCAGCCCAGGTGAGGGTCCCATGGGCTGTCCTGGGTGGGGGCTGTGCTGGTTATGGGGGCTGTCCTGGTTATGGGGGCTGTCCTGGTTATGGGGGCTGTCCTGGGCAGGGGCTGTGCTGGTTATGGGGGCTGTCCTGGGTGGGGGCTGTCCTGGTTATGGGGGCTGTCCTGGG